TCCCTACACTCCCTGATAAAGAGTCCCTCTCCATCTTTCCTGTAGGCCCCCTTTGGGTACTGGAAGGCTGCAACAAGGCCTCCCCGGAGCCTTCTCTCTTCAGGCTGAACAACCCCAACTCTCTCAGCCTGTCCTCATAGGAGAGGTGCTCCAGCCCTCTGATCATCTTTGTGGCCCTCCTCTGGCCTCTCTCTACAGGTCCATGTTCTTCTGGAGCTGTTTTAAGTCAAGTTCCCTCAGTCTGACAGAGTTAACTTCCTCTCCCCAAGATTTTTGCCAAATGGGAATGATTAAATTCAAATTGCAGTTTCAAGTTTAACAGAATTAATGGTATAAAATCACATAAATGCTAAATGTAGGCAGTAAAAGGGTTAGCTATGTACATATATAAACATGCAAATATATATCGATATGTACCAAAGCTTTTTTGTTATGCTCATTGGGATGCTGTCATTTTAGAAAGGGAGAGCTGTTACTTTTCAGGAATGGGATTAAGCCTAATCTGAAAGGTAATGATGTGCAACCATGTGGTTGATACCCTACCAGGTGATGTGGGAGTTCACTCTTAGGCTCCCTATTTTTGACAGGACGATCCCAGAGAGTGTATTGTCACGTATGCTGTACAGCAATGCGCAGTGAGTCTGACACATGGGGGACGTGCTGGATCCGCTGCACATCTGCAAGTTGACTCCGCAGTGCATGCACAATAGGTCTTACACATCCAGATGCTGCACAGATTGCACATATGCAAAGGACATTTGTACTGTTTCAGCCGGGCTGTCGAACATCCAGAAATCTGGAATGGATATGCTGTGTTTGGCAATGTTAATGGGAGAAGGGATAGGGGGAGACCCCTTTTTCTTTCCCATTAAATGCCCACCTGCTTTAAGTTAGGGAGACAAAAGTACAGCTTTGTTTCCTCAAAATGCTTTCTCAGGATGTCAGTTTGTAGCTGGAGATGTTCTGTGTACAGAGTAGTTTTTCTTTTCTTAGTGTGCCTGTATGTCAGGCATCTAAAAATAATAGTGAATCCAGACCTTTATATCTGCACATATATCCCAATCTCTCTTGTGCTGTGACCTTTCTCTTACTGTCTCTGTAGAGGAGCCCTGACAGCCAAGAGCTGAAAGAATAACCACTTAAACAGGCATTTATTTCAGAATATCTTTCTGAAGATTATCTTGATTAGATCAGTCAGTTCTGGGTAAGATAACATGTGGACAGCTGCGTGCACGCTATTAAGAGAAACCTTCCCTAGAAGAAAAATAACTAAATTACCTGCATCCCCCATAAGCTGTGGTTTTGCCCAATTTGCTTGCAGTCTTTTGCCAGGAAATTTGATTATTCATTCACAGAACAGAGACGATGTTGTTGTCAATTAAGCTTTACTTCTAACAGCTTAGACATGGGTGGTTCATTCTCTCTTAATCAAGTGCTGTGTCTACACTAGATTACTTTCTGTAATTTCCCATCATTGGTACCACCAGTGTAGCTCTATTTGTAGCGTAACCGTGTAGACCAGTCACCAGTGCTTTATTTATTATGGCTAATAAACCTGTGAGATGCGGTGTTTAAAAGGCACCTGCTGCGCCTTTCACAGGCCTAGAGACAGATCATTGCCTCTGCCGCTGCTGGAGCCCCGACAGCACCGGCACGGCGAGATTTCAAGCTCCACAGTTCAGAGAAGATAATACGTTTGCGCAGAAGATCCCTTTACGAAGAAACCATTTTCTGTAGAATTACAGGAACCAATTTCCATACCCTCTGTTATTAACATGACACATACATTTATATATATCTGTAATGTGTGCATACATTTGCATACTTTTCTATGTGTATGCATGCATACATTTGCTTTCAACTACTCCTGCTTCTAGCCCTTTAGGCACTCAAAGGAAACTTGGCAATTACAATTTCATTTTCTCTTCCGCAGACATTATTTGGATTGCAACATTATTTGGATTGCAAAGATTGCAAGGAAATATTTAAACAAAGTTTGATTCTGGAATTAAAAAAAACCCCTCATGTATTCACTTTATTAATAGTAACAAGTATTCCTATCATATCTGCCTTCCTGATTCTTAAAGATCTTACCAAGGGATAACCATGATGGGACATTTCAAAGCATCTATGTGTGTTGAGAGCATGGATCTCATTGAAAGGCAATATGCATTGCACAACTCATGGTCTCATTTCTGAAAACAGTGTGACAGATATTTCACAGATGAAAAACTATGGCACTTATATGAATGCTTTATAAGTCTTGCTTTTAGAAAAGAGTTTTGAGTTGAATTGGTGGATGCCTTGCAGAGCCTACTTTAAAAAGTTAAAGGTTAAAAAAGAGGGTTCTGCAAGCATCGGAAAACTACCCCTTGATGCCATCACTTAAAGCGTGATGGTTACTGCTCCGCTTTTGCCATGCTGACTGAGAGTCCAGTTATCATTTTATGCACTCTTTGCTTATGATGGCACCTCTGTTTCCTATCCTGCAGTAAGACCTTATAATGTTAAACGTTGTTCAACCAGAGAGCAAAAAATACCTTCCTTCAAAGACTTTACACCCTAACAGTAAGGCCAAAAAATGGGCGTAAGGGAAGAAATGAGAACACAATGAAATCCGTCAGTAATGCCGGTAGTGGTTTCAGCACTCAGCATGATGGGGTTTTGGGGGAGGATATTTTTAGTACAAATCAGAGTCAGGGTGTTTTTCAAAGAACGAAGAATTTCAATGAATATCTGTTGATGTTCATGGAGACCATCTGTGAAACGTAAAAGCATAGGAGGAAACATGAAGATATTTGTCTAAAAGTCTGACAAATGGGTAAGAAAAGATGGGTCAATCAGAGGTGAGCAATGGGGGTTAGAAAGGGGAGATCCCATTGAGGGCCTTGAAACAAAGCTTGCCTGTGCTGGAGCAGAGGAGATGGAGCCAGTGGAGGCATGTGAAGAGCTGGGTGCTGCTCTCAAAATCAGAAACTGCTGGAATTCACAATACTGCCCAAATTTGTCTGCAGCAAATTTTTGAAGGATGAATCTGAAACTGCTGGCAGTGTAAGCTGACCAGCACACTGGTGAATATGTTTGCTATGTGGATAGGTAGCCTTTTTCTACATATTCTCCTGAAGGAATCTTCAAATGGTACACTGAAGCTGTGGGACTAACTAGGGAAAAATGGAAATCAAACGTCACATGTGAATTGGAGCTATAATGTGTTGTCCACCATCTCTCAGATAATGGGGAGAAAAAAGAAGCCTACAATAGCCATGTTAAGCTTGAACTGAAAGAAAACTTGCAAGGAAATGCTGGAAGGCAAAATTAAGATTGTAAAAGGGAAACAAAAAGATCAATTTGAAGTATGTGCATTGCTTGAAATCACAACCAAGTGCAGGAATAGTGTGAAAGCTCACCTGTGAAGGAAAGATTGTTAATTAAACATATCTAATTAGAAATTCCATTTTCTCCATACTTACCTAGCAGAAAGTCGCTCCACTTTCCTGGGTGTCTTTGGTTGGGAGTATGGCATTTTAAATCTCCTTTGGCTTATCCAGTGAATTCATTACTTACAAGTACATTTGATGGAAAGAATGAAATGCCACACTAAGTAACAAGTTCCATGGGGGTGGTGTGACATTTAACCTGTTTACAGATTACACGGTGCGTTCATCACCTGACTTTGCTTTTAAAGCTGAGCCACCAGCCATTGCGTTAGAGGCTCAGGAAATACTTTGAACGGAAGGTAAATACTGTTTCTTAAAACTACACTGCAAACACTGTTTGCCTTCCTTCCCACTAGCCCTGGAGTTGCTGGGTTTACCCTACAGCTCTCTCTCCTGGGTCACACGCTGTAAGTTAGCTTTACAAAATAAATGTAGCCTGTGTCTAAGAATGCCTTCTGTTTCTTGACAATTAGACATTTCAGCTTTTAAATATTTTTAGATTCAAAAGTTTGACACAGACATGGGAATAAGAGATACATCAAAGCAATTTGTCAGCTGTCATTAAGGAAACAATTGTCCTCTGTTGGAGAGGGCAATGCAGCTATTGCCACATTAAGAGCATGTAGCACTGCACTTTAGCTACAAAAAGAAGTCATAAATAAGGGAGGAATAAAGAGGTGAAGGCAAAAGAAGGAAGGAAGGGGGTGAAACCTGCTTCCAGCTGACAGTTTGGTGCCTTCTATGCACTTAAAATTAAACTATCCAGCTTGCAGTGGTATTGCTTAAATAGCTTTACTGAGGCTCTTGCATTTTTAGCTAAATACAGTCAAGGCAGGATCCAGCTTGCAGATTAGGATTTGTAGATTGATATATCTGCATTAAGTTGTCTGCCTATGAACCTGGTATTTAAGCTCCTATTCGTATGTGAAGAGACACAGGTAACTCAGTTGATGAAACCTAGAGAGCTTTTCAGCTTATTCCAAAGCAGAAACCTCCACTGACCACCTGCATAGCTCTCAGAGCTTCACTGGACTCATGGAGTTGCCTGAAGATGGGTGTCTAATACTGTTCAGGATTTCCTACGCTATCATAGACATCTGCAGAGAGCAAGCACATATAAAACAAGGCTTAGAGAGGACGGGTGCCATTCCGGTCAAGCCAGGTATCATAGACCACAACATCAGAAAAGGCATTGGACACCTCTGTTTAGACTCCTGAGTCGTGGCCTACGTCTCTGTTTGTCATAATGGGAGCTTAGCTTAAGCACCTTCTTGTAGACACCTAAATATAGGTGTCTTAATCTGCAAGCTGAATCCCACATTAGCAGCATTAGATAAACGAACTAATGCTTGTATTAAGAACACGGCTGTTTGCTCTGGTGCATCTGGTAATGCTTATGTGTAATGTGATGAGCATAAAGCACTGATTTCTCAGCCCTGTATATAAAATAACTGTGTTCCAGGCATATATATTTTGCTAAAATTCTTCATAACTTGTAATGAGTCAATCATTAGTGCTAATTATGCTTAAATTTTAAAGTCCTGCTTCAGCTGCAAGACTGGGGTGAACTATGGCGTTATTAAGAATGATGCCAGTTTGACAGTGCCTGTGATGGTGTCTGCGTACAGGGCACTGGCTTGACACTGTCCTTTCTTTTATGAAAGCCATTCATTGCTCTGCCACCTCTTTAATTTAGGAATCGATCCAAGTATGAATTCTCAAAGCCCATTGCGCCACCGCTTCCACGGATTCACAAATGCATCTGGCCAAAGCTGCACTTGAACAAGCATTAGCACTTAACTCATGGACCCTATGTGCTGGCTGTGAAAACTATCAATTTTAGGGGTTTAGTTATGTTCAGAAGTAGAAGTGAAAAAAAAAAAAGATGCTTGTTACTGCACTACATTGCTAGAGCCTTCATGGAGGTGAACAATTCTGCTGTTAACACCGCTTTGCTATTTATGGCAACACTTCACTGATTTCATGGTATTCATTATTCTGTATGGCGTTTACTCCTACCCATTGCTCAGGAATGGCAGCGTGTAGGTTCTCGCTATTGTGTACTTTGTCTCTCACCATCACTGGTGCTGTGCGAGGGAGCGGGTGCTTGGGAAGCGAAGGTTGAGTCCAGGCAGTGCTGGTTAATTCCCAATTCCTGCTCCTGCCCCTTCAGTAAGGAACCATCAGGATTCTTACTGTCTCTCCAAAGTGGAGTGATGCTTTGTGTTTTCTTGTGTTAAAGGAACTCAGTACAAAGAAGGGTCTCCCCACAGGTGGCTGATGGAGAGCTTCTCCTCTGTATTTTAGTGCAGAATTAACTTCCTCATGTACATTGGTGCTGTCGGCGAGTCAAGTTCACACGTCCTGCTCTATACTTGGGTAGAGGTTTATTCACTGTTTTTACATTTGTGGGAAAGTGGGAAGTAAAACCATCAAATGATCCCCAGACCTTATAAAAGCAGAAGATACTTTGATATTCTCATTTAGTCTGCTATGGCCTTAAATGACTACTTGTGCAGGACATTGGGGCTGTCTCTTTCCTAACTGTATGAAGAAACTCCCTCTTACCCATTGTGTCAGAACAGACTTACTTACAGGAACAAACACGCTTATACAAAGTAGGAGGGAGGTAAACTAGTTAAAGTGTCTCGGTTTTAAGATTAGATGAGAGATTTCTGTATCCGTAGTAAGAACAAGTAGCAGCATCATCTCTGTAGTGAACTGGAGGAGGGAAGAGCCCTTTGCAGTGTCGGGGGATGCCGTGGGCGGCAGTGCTGCCTGGCCTGTTGGGCATCCTGCTGTCTTCTGCAACGGCAGGGTCAGTGTCTGAGATTACCTTACATGCACTGTTTTTTTTACACCTTGGAAAAGAGCTTTGTGTACCGGCCACAGCTGCAGAAGAAGAAACTGAGACACCTGGGGTGTCTCATAGCCACGTGGCCGGGAGAAGGAAACCACGGGCTTGAATGTATTTTGTCCGAGAGGTAGACCTGAAAGCTCTCCCTCCTACAGCAGCTGTGCACCTCAGTAAACGGATGCTTTTCCTCACAATTTAATTTCCCCGTAGTGTTTCTAAAGCCTATTGCATGTGGTTTTGTTGTTGGAAGGATGCATTTAATCCCCTTTTCCTGTATAATCATGGTGGTGTACTTCAGTAGCAACACCTCAGTTACTTTTATTTGCCCTTCTCCACATTCCATTGCCCTACACAGGTCACTTGCGATGGGAAGTTGTGGCACTGCTTTCTTCACAAAACCTCTGTCACACAGCAGCAATGTTAGGTGCATGGTTTTGGGGTGTGTTTTTTTTAGGATTTTTGTAAATATATGTGATTTCCAGAAAGTATTTCTTTCCTGACAATATGGATAGAGACTGAGATGAACAATGGTGGTTAACATCTTGTACAGACTGAAACATAATTTTTTGAAAATTTTCTATCACAATTAATTTTATTGTTAACTTTATCTTGCTGGTTCTCAGGGCGACCCATTAAAGAAGGAAAAACTCTAAATATACAAATGAGAAGAAAATGTTTCTTCTGATTATTTTGATGATTCAGGAGTTACGTTTACCTGCCTTAAAGAATATAAAGGCTTGAGGGCAAGTGAAATTACACAGTACTGTAGTGTGGAGACAGGGAAGTTAAATGAAGACATTTTATTTGATTTAAGAGTATGAATTATTAATCACAATCTGAGTAGAAGAAAATTTATGGATTCACGCTGTCTTTTATGCACCTATGAGATTTTACTCCAAGTATTTTTTTAGCCAACCAGCCACTTCTCCACAGAATAAAAGCAGACTTGACATTGCTGAGATTCCAAAGATTTATGAGAGAAGCTGTATTTTGAGTTCAGTTTGTTTTCACAAAGAAATAAGTGTACAATGCCAACTTTTTTTTAAAGATGCTTTTTAAAAAGTCCATTGAAACATAATTGAGACTGACTGAAGTCAACTGAAGTCATTTTCAGTTGGTCTGTATTCTACATAAAATTCCTTGTTTCCACAAAAGTAAACTCTTAATGCCTCTCCAACAAGCAGCCATCAAATAGTTCAGAAATAGTAGTGGAGAGGTTTTACATTGGGTTTTAATTGGAAAATTTAAACATATTTCCAAGCATTGTTTTTTTGAATCCAATTTGAATTTGTTAGTTATCTATTTGAATACTTAATTATTAATCATTTAATTAAGTAATTTTGACAGCTCTTTCCTACTGTCAACCCTAAGTGCAGGAGGCCAGTTTTATTTCTCTCCTTATAGTTACACATAGTGTGTAACTACTTTTTAAAGGCAAAAAATAATAGGAAAGAATTAATTTCATTTCTTCAGGCACTCCTGTTTTTTTTGCCCCTGTGCATGACATTCCCTAAGGCTCTGTGGTTTATTAACTCTAAGCTGAATGCATTACTTACCGGGCCTGTCTGCTCACGTTCTTCTCTGGAAGAGAGCAGGGTAACGTGTTATGCCACTATTACAGATGAAGGTTTGCTTTCTTTTCCTATTGTTTGTTTGAGTTTTCCTGATTAAGTAATTCACTTCACTCTTCTCTGGAAGTTGTCAAGGAACATTAGTTTCCAGAAGTGTTCATATACAACGCTGCTGTTATACCACTACTGTTGTTGAAGGAGCCTTCAAGAAAATACCTATTTTTTAAAAAAAAGCAAATTCATTATGAGAAAGGGATGAATACAAGGTTTGACTCTTAAATACTGGATGTTTAGGCCCAGCATACTGAGATGCTGCAGGTACATCTGTTATAAGGCTGAGTTACTTTTTTGTTTTGCTGGAACAGATTACTATTTTCAGCCTGGTTTGGTGCAGTTATTGTTTACTTTCTGGCCCTTGGTATCTGAAAATGCCTATAGATATTAATAGAGTTCCCTTCCCACAGGGTATCTAGTTTCCATAGGTTAGTATTGTGTTGTCACCAGCTGATATCCAACCACATGAGGTTTTAGATAATATGCACTGGCTAAGTCTTCTTAGGAACTGTTTTCAACCAATTTGCAGGAAAGCTTCAAGATCCATTGCACTGCTGTCTGCCTTTATTAGCACATTAAAATATTTCCTGAATACTACTTTATGAAAAGTTACCTGTTTGGGAAAAAAAGCCACCACCAAGCTTACTGTCTGTATGCTCTTCTTATGTAGTCTATGATCCTGGAAAAAGGTTGTCTTAGAGAGAACCAGGAAAATAACCCCACCAGAAGAGCTGACCAGAGGCAAGTACTATGTAACCAATTGACATGATATGGTTTAGCCATTGAATGTTCATTTTCAACTCCTAGTGTAGGCTGAACTCCTCCTTCCTATGAAGATTCTGAAATTCAATCATTGTGGGTTTTTTTATTAATGCAGGGGTGGACCAGGCATTACCACAAGAACGTCGAACTCCTGTTACTCCGTCCTCTTCCTCTCGATACCACCGTCGCAGGTCCTCAGGGTCACGTGATGAGCGCTATAGATCGGGTAAGTAGAACTGACGACCACAAATTGGAATGAAAATGTGAAATGGCTGGTTCTGTTCTTTGCTTTTTTAAAAAGAAATTTGTTGTAAACTCTTGAAGTAGCTATACATGGGAAATATTCGTTGTACTAATACAGAGACACTGTCCAAGTGTGCAGGGGTGGAATTACACAGCCAAAGTACATCTGGAATTGAATCTGGCAACAAATGTGAAAGGCAACAAGAAGGGCTTCTACAGGGACATTGGCAGCAAAAGGAACACTAGGGAAAATGTGGGCCCACTCCTGAATGGAGCGGGGGTCTGGGTGACAAAGGGCATGGAAAAGCCCAAGATACTTAATGTCGTCTTTGCCCGGGTCTTTACTGGTGAAACTTCCCTTCAGGAATCCAAGGCCTCTGAGACCAGTAGGAAAGTCTTGACCAATTAAAACCTGCCCTCCCTTCCCTCAGGACAGGGCACATTTGAACAAACTGAACATGTGCAAGGCCATGGGACATGATGGGATGCATCATTTGCCAACGTCATTGTGAGGCCACTCTCAATTTTTTGAAAGGTTGTGGCAATCAGGGAAGGTTTCTGAGGGATGTAAGAAAGCACAGTTCATTCCTGTCTTCAAGAACAGCAAGAAGTAGGATCTCGGAAACTACATGCCAGTCAGCCTCACCTCGATCTCTGAAAACGTGGTAGAGCAAATAATCCTGGAAACTGTTTTTAAATATTTAAGGACAAGGACGTGATTGGAAGTAGTCAGCATGGATTTATGAAGTGCCCTTACTAGGTTGGTCAATCCATGCTTGACCAACCTAATAGCCTCTAAAATGAGATCACTGCCTTGGAGATTGAGGGAAGAGCAGTCGATGTTGTATGCCTTGACTTTAATAAGGCTTTTGACAGTGTCCCTCATAACATCCTCATTGACAGCCTGGTGAAATATGGACTAGATAAGTAGTTTTTTGCTCTAAGAGTGGTTAAGCATTGGCACAGGTTGCTCAAAGAGGTTGTGGTGTCTCCATCATTGGTTCAGCACCCCACTGGACATGACCCCAAGCAATCAGCTGTAAGTGACCCTCCTTTGTGCAGGTAGTTGGACTGGATGATCTCCAGAGGCTCCTGCTGACCTCCACCAGTCTGTGGTTCTGTGGCACAGCTGGATTTTATTGTACTGATTCTAGTTAGGTGAATACCGTAAGAAAAATATTTAATTTGAAGTATAGCAAGTTGGGAACATCATTATGTCCTAAATAGAAGCACTGATAAAGGGAAGATAAAATTAATTTCAGAGCTGAACAAAAGGGTAAAATCTCATTTCCAAATGAATGGGATCCAAGTCTCTTCACAATGCTGCTCCAGATATAACACGAAGTGAAGGAAGTGATTGGTTTATATCTGAAGAAAAAGTGAGCTCTGAAACTCTACTCTTACCTTTGAAGGCATGTACTACACCTTAACTGGATGAAGGGTAGGTATGCTCTGTTGTTTCAACTGCTACAGACACTGCTGCAGTGCAAGCGCCCTGCTCGGGCGACAGCCAGAGGCCACGGGCTGGTTTGCTGCTGCAGAATAAGGGAGCTAGAGACAGCAGCAGCCATCAGCTGTTGTGGCAGAGAGACCCTTGTGAGCTGGGAGTCAGGAGTCAGTCCACATGGTTGTGGAGAGCATGGAGGAGCCAACAGTGGACGTTCTGGATTGTGTTTGAGATGCTTCTTGCTGGACACGGTCAGAGGCATTGTGCTGACACAACTGGAAAATTATAGAGAACTCCTTATTAAGCCTTTTGTAACATATCTCTGGTTCATTTCATTAGTCAGAGAGCTTGGCGGTCCCATTTAAAGGAAAACAAAATGATAAACGTTGGCAGAGAAAGTTCATGGATGTCCAGACCATTCTGATAAATTTGAAAAACTCCCCTCTCCCCTCAGAAACCTTGGGTTCACACTGTAGATGCTGCCAGTTTTCCCATGAATAATGGTTGTGGGATCTTCATAATAATTCCTTGATATATAAGCTCCTAGCAGCTTCTCCAACATTATGCTAAAAATCATCTGATTTCTACCCAGTGTTTTTAAACAGGTAAAAATACTATTCCTGAAATTGTCTAGTTTGTGGGTGTGCAACCCGTGGTCCTCAGACCTCCAAGCTGTGACTCTCCAGAGCAGTTCTGTGAAAAGCAACTGTATTTGACTGTGCGTTGACAGTCATCTGCTTGAGCTATGCTTGCCATTTGTAAACTCAGATGTTGAGTCAGTTTGGGGATGGGCAAAAGGAGATGTCATGCACATCTTCCCTGTGGGCCTCTCCTGATACCCCAGGAGTGCGCTGAGCTGGTGTTGCCACTTCTGGGTTTCAGTCGCTGCCTGAAAAAGCAGGCGTTTGTTCAGTGAAATGGTACCTAAGGTCCTGCCTTAGGAGTGGGGTGAAGTGTAATGATATATATAGATAATAAAGATGCAAGCTGTGTTGCTGAGAGGAAAAGTAAGGAATTGAGTGCAAAAGGTTGCTTGTTATTGGTGCAGGAGTCTCATCTTAGAAGAGTCAGGACTATGGTGTAAATTCGGATCTCCCTTGCTGCTCTGAAAATGTCCTTGGTGTTAACTGGAAAACTTGACAGTGTTTTGGGGGCTTATGGCGGGGCTTTGAATTCCTACCTTGATTGCTGTATAGCATGACCCCCCAGCAAGTCACCAAGCTCTCCAGCAAGTTGGTTTGAACAACTACCGCATCTTCACTCACCCAAAAGAAGACTTTATGTAGCAAATGTCAGTGAAGGTAAACGTAAAATTCCATTTCAATTTTGAAAAGTTATCAGATCATCTTCTTTAGATTTAGTTTCTGAGGAGCTTTGCTAAGATACAGCACAATGCTCCTGTGCTGAATTATGTTCTCCCCATCTATACACGGCCCCTGTGAGATTGGAAGTCTATTTCTTTCTTGGTCCCATGACTCTTACTCTCTGTTACTGCAGGTTACAAACTTGCAAGTCAGATTTCTTTCTGGTTGTCTTGTCTTCAGATTCAGATTTGCTTCAGGCAGAAGCCTTTGTTTCACTTGTTGTTTTGCTGTGCTTAATAGTTCAGCATCTCTGCGCTGACCGTATTGTGATTATTAGATCCTAGCTGTTACCCAGTTTCAGTGCTTGTTATCATATTTGGCACATCTTCTTGGAAAAGGCCCAAAACAAAATGAATGCGCAGTCTTTAACCAGTAAGTAATTCACTTCTAGGAAAACATTTCCCTTCCTTAGCTTTTTTTTGCACAATTTATTTCAATTAACATCTCCAAACAAATCCTCTACTCCAACTCTGATCAAAGTCCTTTTCTGTCTCTTCTTGGTAAGGTTTTCCTAATTGGAAGTCTAGCATCCTGAAAGTCATCCAACTTTCCTTCCATGCCTTTGCTTTTTACATAAATTTAGATGTCAGCAAAGATTGTTTAATGAACTCTCTTTGGAGACTCAAAATCATTGCTGCCACTAATATCACCTTCAACTTATGCTCTTTTATTATGGAAAATGTCAGACTGTGACATTTTAAATCCCTACCTATTTTCTCACTTCAGTCTTTTTTATTATTATTATTTCATTAATGTTGTAACAGAATTTTTCAGCACTATAATTTTGGAAACCTGGTTTCTATGATTTTTATATTCTAAATAAAATTGACTCTAAGCTTATGGAAGCTGTTTTTTTTCCTAGATGTTTCTGGTACATTTTGTGTTCAAAATAATTTGATTTTAGAATACAGCCTACACTGAGAATTTAGTCAGATTCTTTAAAACCAGAAAGGTTTAAAATTTCCTGGCTGCTTCTTTTTATACAGGAAGGGATCCTGAAATCATTATGTTCCAAAATGCCAGCTGCTTTGATCATTTTTTGGATGTCTAAAGAAATAGATAATGCTGTAAGTGTAGTAACTGAATCAGTGCAGGGTTAAGCTATATTATTTACTTTATACAAATGTGGCAGCTAGTTTAGCTGATATTAATTCAAAAGCATTTTTCATGTGTTTACTACTGCATATAAAAACCCTCTCAGTATTTACTCACTTAGAAACAGTATTTGGAAAGGTTTGCCAAATGTAGATCACGACAATGTTTTTTCCCTTAGCAGCTGCCGTTCCCTAGCCTGTGCCTGTGCTATAACATGAGCTGGGGGCTCAGGATGACACTGAAGCCAAATGTTGCTGTAGGCTGGGTCAGTAACTTTTACCAAGAGGCTTTTCTGGCTTAGTGGCTTTTCAGGCAAGAAAACCCAGTCAAAGGAAACCTGGCTTACACTCTGCTTCTGCCTCTGCGTGCGGAATAGATGTCAGCATCTGGCTTGACCTGGCTCGAGTGATGTGACTGCAAGACCAGGCACAGACCGGAGTACAAAGTGCATGGTGATCATGTAGGTGTAGCTGCAGTTGGACGTACAGCTTTGTTTCCTTACTGCAGTTTAGAAACTAGGTTTCTCAGGTGCTTTTGGAAGCTGTGTATCCATGGATTGATTTGGTATGGTGTGTTGAGATAAGGAGATAGGAATTATGTGGCAGAGTGAACAAGTAGGTAAGCTGAATGGCTTAGCTAAGACTTGGCATAGTCTTACCATGCTAAATGAACTGAACCAGTCCAATACGGAGGTTGTCGGAGGATTTTGGCCCTACATGTCTTCCATACAGTCAGTAGGGACCTGTTTGCTCCCTGGTAAGCATTGGCTACATTCTGCTTCTGCTAACATTGAATTCCCTCGTGGAAGGACCTGAAAATTTTGCCACTGGCATTCAAAATGCCGTCGTATAGGCTGTCTTGCTTTTGGAAGAGCGGTCTTACTGATCTGGTGCTTCAAATAGTGATGTGCAAGCTCTCCAGAGCGTAGCCCTGCAGTAGTACTGGTACTGGAGTTTGGCCCCTTGACTCCGGTGGCCCGAAGCAGAGCTAGGCTCTACTGCCACGTAAAGGCTGCGGCGCGGTACAGCAGCATCTGCTGCGGTGGTGGTTCCTAATGAAATACCCCACTGGTAAACT